GAAGAACCCCCCACCGGTCAGCTCGCTCACCCCTGGGGGGCTGGTGCCAGCCCCTGCCCCCCACTCTGTCCAAGGGCGAGGGTCGCGGCAGGGATGGGTGGAAGGGGGCTCACCTGCGCCAAGCGCTGCTGGCTCTCGGGGTCCCCCGGCTTCGCCACCGCCTTGCGGGCCTCCTCAATGAGGTTGCCGGCCTTGTCCATCACGTCCCCGGCACACTCCAGCATGGCCGCCTGCGCCGAAGGATCCTCGGTGTTGGCCGCAACTCCCCGTGCCGCCTGGCTCAGGGAGCGGAGCGCATGCGCCACATCTCGGGCTGCGAGCCCTGTGGGAAGACAGAGGACAGAAAGAGAGTGCCCAGCCCCCCCTCACCCCCGGGTGCTTTCCCCACAAGGCCAGGTGCAAAGGAACAGCAGGAGGAGGAGGAGATTTATACCCCCCCCTTCACTACCCAAAAGGAGTCTCATATCGGCTTACAATCTCCTTCCCCTTCCCCTCCCCACAACAGACACCCTGTGAGGGAGGTGGGGCTGAGAGAGCTCTCCCTTGAGGACTGCTCCTGAGAGAACAGCTTTCAGAGAACTTGTGACTGACCCAAGGTCACCCAGCTGGCTGCATGTGGAGGAGTGGGGAATCAGACCCGGTTCTCCCAGATTAGAGGCCACGCACCAAACTGGCTCTCCTAGGAGGAGGCAGGTAAGGCAGACAGAAGCTGAATTTGGCTGCCAGGAAGCAACCTGCTCCTAGGCCGGGGGGGGGGGGGGGGGGGCCCCCAAAAACCCTGTGGGGGGTTTAAGGGGGGGGGGGGGCGGGGGAAAAAACCGCACAATGCAGGGAATTCACAAGTACCTCCCCCACCCCACCCCCACCACCAGGTCCCCGGGCGTGTCGGAAAGGGCCACGAGAACGAAGCCCTGATGACGCAACCCTTCCGGGCCCCACTCTCGTGATCTGCCGGAGTCCACAGAATCGGCATGGCTGCCAGGTGGGGCCAATGTCTGGCCCCTGCTGGAAAACCTCCCGAGGAGGAGACAGCCTGGACGGTGGCGCTGCTGTCAGCTGTGGCCAGCGGGTGAGGGGAGAGGCCGGTGGGCGGCTGGGGTGGCTGCTGGGAACTCGAGAGAGGACCGGTACCTGTGTAGTTCTCGTTGCCCTGGGCAACCTCTCCCAACAGCTGGGCAATGGCGGAGCTCACGGCCTTGGTGCTGTTCCCCAGGTCCTGGGCGCTCTTCTCCATCTGCAGCAGAAGCAGAGCCCGTGGAAGACACGCCCCCCCCCCGCGCACTCCCAGGGAGCTCTGCGGAGGCCCCTCCCTCACCTCCACACCCCTGGCACTCCACACCCCCACGGACACGCACTGACGCATCCCACCTGCCAGTTCCGTAAAACCCACTCCACCACCACCCCCCACGCCCAACCTGGACCCCAGGCCTCCCTCACCGTCTCTCCCGGCAGCGGCTTCAGCTTGCCCTCCTGCGCAGCGGCCTTGGCCTCCTGCAGGTCTTGCTCCAGGCTCTGCACCAGGCTGAGGGCGGAATCGATCTCCAGGGGTCCGCAGGCCTCCTGGGCCTGACGAGGAGAAGAGAGAGATGCCATGGCTGCAGCCCGGCGGCAGCGCACCCCCCCACACACACACTCCCAAGCGCCCCTTCCTCCCGTGCGCCCACGGCCACATGGCGGCTGTACCTTCTGCGCTGCGGTGCGGAGCTCTGCCAGAGCTGCTGCCAGGTTCTTGGCGCACTGGCTAAGCTGCATGGCGGACGCCTGGTCCGAGATGGTGGGCACGGTGGCCTTGGCCGCAGCAACCATCTTCCCGCCGGGCTACAAAGTGGACAGAGACAGCTGCGGTGGCAGAGCCGGGCATCCAGCCGGGAGCCACACACCGCCCAGCTCCACACCTGGGGCATCTCCTGACCTGCAAGAAGTTCTGGCTGGCAGCGATGAGCGACAGCTGGGCGCTGGGGCTGTCGGGCTGGGCCTGGCTGCCGCGCACACCCTGCACCAGCATCGGGATCTGGTCGGCCACCCCCTGCAACCAGACGGGAGGAGAGCGCGGCTAGAGAGAGAGAGCCATCCCTCCCAGGGGCCCTCCTCGGGAAACGGGGCCGAGGACCACGGCCTCACAGCCAGACTCGGCCAGGAAGCCTGTCACAGGACCCCCTGGCGGAGCCACCGCCCCACAGCCAAGCCAACCCCTCGGGGGCTGCTGCAATTATGCCCTGCCCTCAGGTGGAGGGGGCCTTGGCCCCCTCGGCCGAGTTTGTCCGGCCCTCCAGCGCAGCCGGCTGGCCGCTGCGTGAGACAGGACATGCTGGACTGGACGGACCCCCCCCCCCCCGGCCTGGGCCCTCTCTCAAAGGTTATTCGGGGGGGGAGGGCCGGGAGGACGCCTGCTCCTCCCCGCCCTCGGCCGCTTGCTTGCCTTGCAGCTCTGCACCAGCTGCTGCTGAGCAGAAGGGTTCTTGTTGGCCGTCGCCGCGTGCTGCGCAGCCGCAATGGTCTGGGTGGCCGCAGCGGCTGCTTGCTTCGCTGCATGCTGGGGAGAGAGACAGCGGAGAGAGAAAGGGTGAGGGCCAGTGGGACCCCTTGCTGGAGACCCCCCTCCCTACCCCCCCCCCACCGGTGGCCGCAGCTCAGGGGAAAGG